AATGCGAACTAATATGAATTGGTAACGACAAAAAAAATACTTGATTATACATACTGCATTTAAAGTTTAATATGCACAAATTGTAAAGACACGGAAGTAAAATGACATTAAATCTTCCATAGCTTTTGTCTAATAGCGTAACGCAACGACTAAAGAATATTAAAATTAATCACTAACAAAGGACATTTATGATCAATAAAAGTAGATATTTTTTAGATTCTGTAATTAGGTATTTTTTTCTTTTCCCGTTAGAGCATCATCCGCTTAACATCTTTTCTTTGATTAATAACTTAAAAATTCACTTGTTATTTGCAAAATGATATAAGAGTTTTTATGTTTTATGTTCAAAGTTTTATGTTCAAAGTTTTATGTTCAGAGTGACTTAATCTACAAGCATGTATGTGACAGCTGTACCTATTGATAGGTTCAAAGTTCGAGGTTCAAAATTTAATATATTGATATCTCTCGCTAAGTACAACAACTGTCATATACTAGATTACGACACTCTGAACATAAAAGTCCCGTGTCATTTTGCAAATAACACACAAATCCTTGAGATATTAATTAAAAACCCCTATATACATGGTTTTTTTCAATAATAATAACTCGAAATTTTATTGTTTGCTGTGTTGTTATTTGCAAAATGGTAGAGAACTTTTTTTATTTACCTCAATTCTTACCACCTCATGACTTTGCGAAATTTGTACCTGTTTGTCTGAGACACTTTGTATAAATGTTCTTATTTGGGCATTTTTTCTTGAAATATGTAGGAACAGCTCAATTTTAAAATATGAAAATATTTTGCATAATTTATAAATATTCGGTCAGTAAGAGAAAGTTCAGTTGGACTTTATGCCTTCGTCGACGGTAAATTTTCTACGATGGAAATGTACAAAGTCTGTGAGAACGTTGTTGAAAGATTGTACCGACGATGGCGATTATATACTTGATGGATAATTTGTTTTCATTGAATTCTAATGACGTCAACGTCGCGACGTTGACCCTAACGTACGTTGTCAAGAGCATTTTTCTAAATAACTTCTACGATTATAACGTTTTAATTTTTAAAAAGTAATTAGTAAACGAGATTTTGTAAATAGAACACGTAGTTTTCTGACATTGTGTATATCAGAAATAAGCACATGCTGTGTGATAGTTACAAATATTCATTATACATATCCAACCCTGTATTTACTTAAATGTGTCAACAGTAAGATACGTGCGGATTTTCTACGAAAACATTTATTTAATGAACGCATTGAAGCATTTGTTAAAACATAATGTAATACATATATGTAATGTAATGTATTACCTTTAATTACGCGATACATCACGTTTAATTTAGAGAGAGCCCGCATGTGTCTGACTGTTGATACATTTGAGTAAATACACGGTTGGATTTGTACGGCGGATATTTATAACCATTTCGCAACACGTGTTTACTTCTGATCTATACAATATCAGAAAACTGTTCAACGTGCTGAAATATAAATCATATTTAGCACAAATGTAGCGTCTGTAAAGTTTAAGAATTTTCTTTCTCTGCAATTCCTTTCCAAAAAAAATAACTTTTCTCATAACGTTTTAATAAACAATAAAAGACGGTTACAATCTTTAAAAGCTTACGTAGAGAATTCTGATTAGAATAATGTGATAATAATATCATTTGAAATATACGACAGGTAATTAAGTGAAAACGATGAAGGTACTAACGACGAAGTATGCGAATAATTTAATAAAACCCATGTTTTTTCTTCATAAATGTTTTATCTTATTTGTCATTGTTTCTTTATTATCGTATTTTTTTCTTCGAAAACGTGGTTTCTCGTTCGCACTAAGAGTTATTTCAAGACAATTTGGAGGCTTTTTTAGACTTGATAGATATATGGGCAATTATTAGGATGCTGGTGAAGCATCTTTTCAATTTGATCATATTTATTATGTCGTTAGTATGATTATACAATATATTAGTGTAAATTGAAAAATACATGTGCAGAAAATTGCGAAGAATATATGCAAAATTCAGTTTGTGCCTCATGTGTAGAAAGTCTGTTCTTTTATTTTATTTAGTCCAACAGAGATAAAATGGGCAAACTGCACATTGCCACTTGCAACGTCTTCTCCATACCTTCGACCTTGCTTGCCACTGCAATTGAAAGGCATTTTAAACATCGATAAAAACTTGTCTTTCCCATTGGGTTGTAAATTATTCAAACTATTAATTTACGTTTAATATTTAGTGCTCTTAAATAATGTTATTTTAAAGAATTTCAATCGAGTTCATATTTTGGTAGACAGACTCAACGAGAGAGAGAGTTTATATGTTACCAGAAAAATTAAATTAATTAATTAATATTCTCTAAACTTTTCGTTATTTATCCAAAATGTTTACAACGTGTAATAACGTTCCAAATTAGCCTTAAATCGGCTAATATTAAAATCAGATATATGTTATGTGATTCGAAGTAGTAGACAGGCGTAACAATGATCAAAATCGATTACCTTGATCATCGCATTTACTAAATATACAGTGGCGGACATATACTTACGTATGGTTAGGAAAATTAAGTTTAATTTGTTGTGTACTTATACATGAAATAGTTAAACAAAAGTCTATTGCGTTTTTTACAAATTTATAGCATATATTATGAAATAGCAAAATAGTGTTTATCAACTTATAATAGCTAAGAAGTTTCTTGTGTTTTTTTTACTCAAGTGTCGTATTTTCTGCGAACACATACTTATGTACATTGTGGTAATACACGGATAGGTTAAAATTTCTGCAATGTAAACAATACTTATCAGTATCTATTGAATAATGTAGGTAGAGAGATGTGTGACAATATTATGACAGCTATAATGAGCAAACGAAAGAATATAACGTTAGATCAGCGTCGGTAAATATAACAGCTTCGCAAAAATAGGAAGTCTTATCGGAAGATTTCTACAGACTTGGGTTATCTACATAACTTGGGTTATCTGTTATGGCTTGTTATCAAGATATACAACATATTAAACGTCAACAACATATGGAACGCCAGATAATGTTCCTCGTAAAGCGAGGCCACGAAAAACCAACATAATAACTGAATTTTACGCTTCTTTCAACTTGGTAGGGTCGGGAAAGAACGCTTGAAGTCTTAATAAAACTTCGTCCCTTTTATATTTGCCATTTGGGTATAACAGCTAAAAATGACAATTCCACAATGTAATGTCACCTTTGTTATCACACGCATTATTTGCCGTCTTCACATTATGATTTTTAACTTGACAGTGTAATACACAGGATATAGCCATAATATGTTAACATGCACTGAAACTATATCTATCAACTGAATAATCGTACGAGGAAAAATGACAATAGAGAAAAATTGACATAACTTCTCAAGATATAGCCAGAGCACATCAGTGTCAGAAGTTTCTATTTGATCATTGAGCTAAAGCAACGCTAACCACGACTAGGAAAAGAATGATCTCTACAGGATCGAAACCACGAAAAGCCATAGTATTAGATGAGAAGATGCAAAAATTAAAGTGGCGCTATTTTCTATTTAAATAAAAAGATCTAACATTAGTTTGCTTAGTCTCGTTTGCATTAACATAATTTTGCTGCAAATAATCTTATGTAATTACAATAATTCATTCCTATTGTATTTAATTAATGATTAAACACTGGCTAAGAATTACTGAAATACTATAGTATTTTAAACTGAGCGATTACATTCTTAAAGTATTGTATAAACGATTTTAGATCAAAAATTATTAAATATTTAATATTTAGGACGTTATTTATAAAAATGTGACGACACTACATAATGGGTTGGAAAGAAACAAAGGTGGTAATACGGCCATCGACTAAAATAGATTTAAGAAATTGGATTTATTTAAAATAACGTAGAATGTATTGCTACAAAATTATATATGTATTGAAAACACTTGATAGAAGAAATAACGATATAAATTAACAACATAAATTTTTAATGTGGATACTGACTTGTCAGAAGATACAACCTGTCAAAAGCAAAAGCTCGGACCAATTTAAAATATCCACCTCTGTTCTGGTTTTGATTCATTAAAATATTTAATACAAGTTTCGATTTTCGGTTCTAGTTGCCTGGATGAAAAAGGTTCCGATATTGTGTTATTTATATTATGTTATGCGTGTAAATTGTTTTTTCGGTTCCGATTCTGGTTCTTTAAAATCTTTTTATTGAAATTTTTATCATACAGGATGTTTCAGGAAGAAAGATCAATATTTTGGGAGGTGATAGTATCGGTCATTTTAAGCAAAAATGTTCATATGAACGTGTGTTCTATTCTGAGCGGTACTTTTATTGTTGTTTTTTCGAGTACTCAAGAAAATATAAACTACGACGTCTTAAAATTTTTGGACTTTGTGTTACTTCATTTGTGACGTGCGACGTGCCTTATGCGACGTGCTTAATTTCAGCTGCAACTGTGTATATATTGATAATATGATGCAAACGTTAAAAAAAATTGCATTTATCCGCCAGACATCGCGTTTATTTGCTCGACTTCAACAACTTGCGCAAACAGTCATTCACGGCAAATGTAAAACCAAGTAAAAAAAAATCGTTTTTTGGTGATTACGTAATGTTTAATCTTTATGAACGGCAAAAACGCACGAATACACGGTAAAAAATCCAAGGAAATTTAGGAAGATTCCTAAAAATTTAGGAAGATTCCTAAAAAATAAATTTGCGAATCAACTACTTGAAGTCGATTTGAGACAACGCAGGAGCATATAATTTGCTACATATGTGTTTAGGTAAATATTCACTCTTATCTTTCATAAGAATTCACTCGCTTAATCTCGACGAAGGTTTTTAAACCAATTCCACTTTATTCCACTTTATTCCACTAAATCGCCAAAACGAATATATAATTCCACATAGAATAATCAAAAGATATAGAAGATCTAAGAAAAAACATAAATGGATCGTTTCGTATACTGTATAAAGGAAAATCAGCTTCACCATTTAAGATAGTTTGTCGAAGAAAGACACAGTTGAGTAGGAGCAACTATTAATCTCCTTCTTCCGTTCCTCGCTGGTAAGATCTTTTTGATTTGCTGTAATTAAAAAAGAATGTGGTAATTACAAAAATTACTTTTCTGAGACAACAGATTTATTTTTGAAAAAATTATTTTTTTAAATAATTTTTTTAATTATCTTTTAATAAAATCGTATACCATCATCGTAGCACTTTTCGAAAATTTGTTTTGCCTGCTCCAGTTTGTTTGTATCGGAGATTCCATCTTCTAATGCTTTAAAGGTTGCCTCCTTTACGAACGCGCCATTCTCATCAAAAACCTAGAATAGATGAAATTGTTTGTTTTATATGTCATACTGTATTATGTGATATGATAACTTTTTAATTATGAGGACTTTTTTACGTACAGTAAAAAGTTTTGTGTTAAAAACGGTCGACAGAAATTTGCTTAATTTAGCATGAAGATTTTATAAAAATACACAAATACAAGGTATCCAGTAATTATTGGCGCAGCAGATTGTGCATAGATAGGTCAAACTGAAGAGTGAACTAATAACCATCTTGCAAATTTTGCAATTGTTAATAAGAAATTAATTAATCTATATAAAGAGAAAGAAATAACTGCATGAGAAGCGGTAGGGCTGGACTCCGTAGATAACGAAAGATAGTTTTCAGTTAATAAGAAAAATAGTTTTCTTTTTAGAATTTTCTAGCAACGATAGTACAACTGATTTCGGGAAGCGAAATAACGTAGCGAGCAACGATCGATATATGATGCAGGACCGAAAAAGAATTGTCTTGTCTCTTTTCGTGACGTTTCTCGTGGTAAGAAAATAATAGTGTGCTATACTTTCTACACTACCTTGCGGTAAATAGTATGTTGCGTTTTGTTTATAGTGGTTTTCCTTAGTAAGTCTAATTTACTCTCAATTGCCTAGTTTATACCTGTCAGTGTAAACTAGACCGTCATCGGTGTAAACTAGATTAATACTTAATGAGGTTTGAGATGCCATCCTTCTCGTATGCAGAATTCGGTTCCCCGAATCAAATTCAAACAATGGTTGTAATTCGTTTCCATAAAAAATACGATGCATATCATGAAAGACTGTGTGTATCTATCGCACGGCGCACATTGGTCCCGAGATTCTTGACTATCATTCGCATGACTCTTATAAAATACTTATTTAACATCATTACACTGTGTATTGATGCTATGTTGCCGATATGGATGTATTAAACATACAAATATATATACCTGGCCATCCTTTATTATTGCGCACAGAACGACGTCTGCATGGCCTTCAGCTGCAACGCAGAAATTACCGATGTAATAACGAAATTGGAAAGATTTATTTTTGTTTTAAATACTATAACTAAGTCAACATCGGCAGCAACGTCCTCTTTTAACAACGTGAGATCTTACGTTCAGTTAACAAACGGGCATCAGAAATTGTCAACAACATAACGATACATACGTGATAAAATAAATGAGCAACGTTATGAAATTGTTGCGATATCGCGATAGTTATTTTCTATATCTTAGGTAAGCTCACTTGAACTATTTTCATGAAAGCCCTTCCAACATTACGTGACTGTTTCACTCCGATGTCGATTTCTTTCAACAATAGCTAGAATTCCTCATCCAAATGTAGGAATTTAAAAGATAGAGAGCTTATGTGCCTATTATCACGTTTTTATAAATGTTTGTCATGAACTTTTACTAGCGTTACATAGCTTACATTGTATTTATTTATTTGTCTAGATCTTTATAATACGTGGTTTCTTATATATGATTTTCTATTATACACGGTGACCCATTTTAATCGACAAACGGAGATATCTCCGAAACTACGCAATCTACGAAAAACATGTTTGGGTAAAAGTTGTCGAGGACAGTGGGGGTCATCTATCTGTACTAATGACCTTGACCTTGAAATGACCTTGAAAACTGACCTCAAGGTTGAATGACCTTGACCTTGAAATGACCTTGAAATGACATTGAAATGACCTTGAAAACTGACCTCAAGGTCAAGGTCATTAGTACAGATAGATGACCCCCCCTGTCCTCGACAACTTTTACCCAAACATGTTTTTCGTAGGTTGCGTAGTTTCGGAGATATCTCCGTTTGTCGATTAAAATGGGTCACCGTGTATATTCTATTAAGTTCGTTGAATTTTAATACTCACTCAATGGTATGCCCAATTCTTGACTGCATTTTGTTATACTGTCATAAAATCTTCGTAAACGTTCAATGTTAAGGCCGTAAATCTTCACCTATAAGAATCGCACAAAAATATGTAGGATTGCATAAAAAATATTTCATGAATCTATATATATATTTAAATTGAATCCTGATATCCGGCGCTCAAATTCAAAAAAATTTTATATATCATAATTCAAAAGAATTTTTTGTTCACGAGAAAAGTAACGAATTTTACGATTTTTATAGATTATTATATTGTTCTTCACTATATTTTCTATCTTCTGTTGTGTTTAAGTCCACCATAGGAAAAATTATATAATTTTGAATACTTCAAAAGAGCAGAACATGTCGCGTCATTATTTAAATAATGATTTAATTTTTATTAATTCGTGTATTCAAATGCAACCTATAAAACCTTTTATAATGCCAATTATATTGACGGTCTAGATATGTACAGAGTGTATATATATATATAGTTTATATATATATAGTTTCTTTCAACATTTTTCAAATTTATTTATATAATAATTTAATCACTGAAACTTGTTTGATTT